TTTTTTTTTCAATATAATTTTGGGATTCCTGGAAATAATTTTTGAATTGTTTCAATTTCTTCAATCAATCCTTTAAATCCTTGTTATCTATTCCATTCCATTGTTTTACACTACACACTGTCAAATTGTCTGATGCTAGTTTAGCTGCTAAACTGATTTTATTATTGGTTTTTGTCGCTTGACTTGTATTCAACCTTAACCAGCTTTAAATCATTTTAATTGTTTTGGAAGAGTATCCTTGGTATCCACAGCTTTTTGTCAAACTATGAGTTCATTATCTAATCTTGACTGATCTCTCTTATTTAAGCAGGCTCCAAAATCATCCCCTTTATCTAAATCTTTGAAAGAATTTTAGTTTTGTTAATGGACAGTTGTCTTGTCCTCAAAAGTCCATTGATTTTGAGTTTACTAAGTTATGGAGCATTAAGAGTAATGTTCTTCACGAAGCCATAATTAGTAAGCGTTAGTTGTCTCAAATCCTTGCAACTTTCATCAATAATCAAATCCAGCACTTCGCAAATCAATACATTCTTCTAAGAGTTAGTAGTTTTATCATTTTCAATTTAAAGCTTTCGGACTGATTCATTTTTAAACTCGATTTTCTCGAGTTCATCAATATCTTTAACTCGAATGTGAATATCCTTAGCATTAGGAAACATCTTTAAAAACTACTCAACATTTTTCGTTGAAAGCCCTAGAGCTATTTTTAATGCTTCGCAGTTTATTAGTTTGAAAGTGGGATTGAATAGTAATTAGAATTTCCGAGTAGGGCCAGGATTAGCTTAAATGCCAAGTTAGTTCAAGAGATTTATGAGAGCATTATTGGTTCTGTAAAGCTCAAATTTTCTAATTCCTTAGTTTTTGTTAATACTCAATTTATCTGCTATATTATAGATCACACATTCCTCTAAGTTTATAATCAGATTGTAGTCATGAGAGAAAAATGGTTTTACAAAGATCTTTTTAATGACCAATTTTGTCTTTGCCCCTCCCTGCTATAAGTAATCTAAATGATTAAGAAGCAATTTTTCTTTATCTTATAATGCTATTAATGCTTCTTTCTCCCCTAGACTTCCAAGAATTTCAGCCTAGTTCTATTCTATTTCATAATGAAACTCTTGGAGTTTTAACTATATTTAGCCTAAGATTATAAGATTGAACGAGGATAATTATTCTAAATTAGGGCAGTTGCTTATGTTAACAATATGATCGAATCTACCTAAATTGAAATAAGCCTACTTCAGATAGTAGATATCTTTAAGATCTAAGCCAGGACACTCAATAATCAACTTAAGTTGTGATAGTTCAGAGCAAGTGTGTATTGCAGGTTAAATTATG